AATAAAGCTCCTGTAATCTCTGCTATCATTATTCTGTGTTCCATATTTTAAGAGTATGAAAAAAGAGAGTCTTGAAAAGGTTGAAAAATATATTTCTAAGTCTTATGTTCACCAAGTAAATTTATATGATGAATGGCTTAAGGGCTGGGGATAATTAGCCTAGAGAAGGGAGTGTTGGGGAGAGGGGTTACTATATGATAGAAATTTTAAAATGTGTAGAAGACTGTCAGGTGAAAGAAGTGGAGTTACTTGTATCTCCAGAAAGCAGAACTAAGATCAGAAAGGAAAAACTAACAATTCAAACTTAAAAAAAAAAAAAGGAACAGTCTGCCTTGTTAGTTAATGAATTCCCTGTCACTGAAGGTGTTTAGAGAATCGTTCCCAAAAGGATTCAAGTGCAGGATACCTGTTGGACTGAATAACTTCTAATATCCTTCCAACTTTCATCTCCTTGAGGGTGACTCCCATAGTTTGTATATTTGTTTTTAAGATTTATAAGGATTGTCTTGTTTTTCCTTCTGTGAACTGTTAAAAACTTACATCTCTATCATGATTCTATATTAAGAAGGAATGTAGAGAGTTCTGCTTCTGGGAGCGAAGATGGCAGAGTAAGAAGTAAGTAACCCCAAAAACTATCGCCCTAGGAAAAACCCTGGAACAGCTAAACCAGCAGAAAGACAGGGTGCAGCAGTCCCGTAGCCCAGGTAGCATGAGCGATTAACAAGAAAGGCCCCTCTTGCCTTGGGGAAAGGGGAGCAGTACAGAACAGGAAGCGTCCCAGCAAGCTAATGGAAAGCCCTATCTCAGCATACCAGGGGGAGATCCTGAACTCCAAGTGGTAGAGCAGGCAAACACCAAAACCAGGACCCCTAAGTGCCTCAGTAAGGACAGGGGAACCAGTGGAAACCGGCTCAAAAAACCACCACATACCTCAGTGTTCTACGGCAACTAAGTCTCCCAGCACCTCAGCAAAACTCTGGGAAGTGCTTCAAGAGTTGCCCCCCAGGCAGAGAAACATCCTGTATCAAGAAAACATCTATCTGAAAGGAGCTGAAGAAAGTGAAAGGAAGGAAAGGCCCTGGTCAGCAGGCAACCTCTAGGGGCCGGAAGACCCAATCCTATCCCTGGGGTTCCAGTGTTGCTGATTTCAGCCCAAAAGCAGGTAAGCTGCCAGAACCCTACAGTCTTCAACTGCCAGCATCAGAACCCCCAGCACACAAAACCAGTGACCAGGCCCAGGGCTTCCAGCACAAGAAGCTTGGTTCTATGCCCCTTGCTCCCCAGCAGGAGAGCTCAGTCTTTTTAAAGGCCAGGAATTAAGCAAACACCATGAGCAAAAAGAAACGTACAATAGATTCTTATTATGAGCATAGTGAAGATCAGGCAGAAATTTTATGAAGAGGACAACATTGTCAGCAAACCCACATCTGGAACTTCAAAAGGGAGTGTGAACTGGTCTGAAGGCCAAAAAGCCTTCTTGGAAGAGCTCAAGAAATATTTTAAAAGTTAAATAGAGAAGTAGAAGAAAAATTGGGAAAACAAATGAGAGGTATGCAAGAGAGAATCAATAGCTTGGAAAAGGAAGGACAAAAATTAACTGTAGAAAACAAGTCCTTAAAAAATACAGTTGGCCAATTGGAAAAAAAAGTACACCAAAGAAAACAACTCCTTAAAAAGCATAATTAGCCAAATGGAGGAGTGTGTACAAAATCTATTAGAAGAAAACAATTTGTTAAAAATTAGAATTGGGCAAGTGGAAGCTAATGACTCTGTGAGAGAGCAAGAATCAGTCAAACAGAAACAAAAGAATGAAAAAATAGATGAAAACGTGAAATACCTCATTGGTAAAACAACTGACTTGGACAATAGATCCAGGAGGGGCAGCAAGGTGACACAGTAGATAGAGCACCGGTCCTGAAATCAGGAGGACCTGAGTTCAAATCTGGCCTCAGACCAAACACTTGACACTTACTAGCTGTGTGACCCTGGGCAAGTCACTTAACCCCAGTTGCCTAAAAAGGAAAACAAAAAAAAGAAAAAGAAAAAGAAAATAGATCCAGGAGAGAAAGTTTAAAAATTGTTGGTCTGCCTGAAAACCATTATGGAAAATAAAGATCCTGGGTAGCATCTTTCAGGAAATCATCAAGGATAACTGCCCTAAGGTCCTAGAACCAGAAGGTAATATAGCCATAGAAAGAATCCACTGATTGCTTCTTGAAAGAGATCCCAAATTAAAAACGCCAAGGAATATAGTAGCCAAATTCCAAATTACCAGGTCAAAGAGATAATACTGCAAGCAGCCAGAAGGAAACAATTTAAATATAATGGAACTAGTCAGGATTATGCAAGACCTTGCAGCTTCTACATTAAAAGATCATAGGGCATGGAATACGATATTCCATAAGGCAGGGGAGCTTGGATTACAACCAAGGATCAACCACCCAGCGAAAATGAGCATAATCTTTCAGGGGAGGAAATGGATATATGAATATATGTATGAAATAAGGGACTTCCAAAACTTCCTGATAAAAAGACCACAGCTTAGCATAAAATTTGATCTTCAAGTACAAGACTCAAGAGACACATAAAAAAGTGCTGAGCCTTCTTGGTACTGCTGCTGCTGCTGCTGCCAACTCCAGGGCCCACAACTGGTATTGCTTCCACTGAGCCACACTCCTGGAAAACATCCACTCCAGTGTCTGCAGACCTCTTTGTCCTCCTCAGCCCACTTGGGTTGGAAAAATGACTGACTGTGCTGAGCCTTCCTGGTACTACTGCTGCCATTGCCAGCTCCAAGGCCTACATACAACTGGTGTTGCTTCTCCACTCCAGTGTCTGCAGACCTCTCTGTCCTCCTCAGCCCACTTGAGTTGGAAAAATGACTGTGAGTTTTTGTTGGTTATGCTCTATAGAATTTGTTTTAATGCACTTTTAAAATTTATTTAGGGCTATTCTCAGATTGTTTCTGGTTTAGCCTATATGTGTCTTGCTTGTACAAGAGTAGTTTGCATGTTATCTTCCCTATTAGTCTGTAAGTTTCTTAAACACACAGACCATTTTTACCTTTTTTTGTATCCCGAGCACTTAGAACAATACCTGGCACATAATAGGTACTTAGTAAATGTTTGTTGACTTGACCAGCTAGTTCTTCTCAGAATATGGATTGTCTGGTTAGAACTAGAGAGCAGGGTCAGAATCATTGTTAAAACCCATAGAAGTATATTTTAGTTAAGTCTGATAACCATTTCTTTATGTTCCAGGATAAACAAGATATTAATATATTATCTACAAATGCACCACACTAACATAAGAAAAACTCATACATATATGAAAATACCAGTCATAAATGAGCTAGATTATAATGCATATCCAGTTTGATACTGTTTCTTTGGTGTCTGGTGGTTACATTTTAAGTGATTTCATTATGGTCACGTCCACTAGGCGCTCTGATTATTTTTGTTGAAATGTACCTCCGAGTCCCACCCCTTTAGAAGTAGATAATTTTTAACCAGTTTATATCTCATATATATGTGTGTGTGTGTGTGTGTGTGTGTGTGTGTGTGTGTGTGTGTGTATTTCCCCAACCCCCCACCCCATTTTTCAGAAGGAAACACATTACTTATTCTGTTTCGCAGAATAAGTTTTAGTCTTCCTACTTGGATCTACCAGAAGAAAACCTACAGGATATGGTTCTTATTAGCAGGTCTCTTCCCATTAATACAGTTCAAGTCCAGGGCAGCTGTGTGGCACAGTAGATAGAGTATTGGGCCTGGAGTCAAGAAGACTTATCTTCCTGAGTTCAAATCTGGCCTCAGACACTTACTAGCTATGTGACTCATGACAAGTCATTAAGCCTGTTTACTTCGGTTTCCTCCTGTGTAAAATGAGTTTGGCAAACCACTCTGCAGTATCTTTGCGAAGAAAACCTCAAATGGAATCATTAGGAGTCAGACATGACCAAAAACAACTGAACAACAATCCAATCCGTCTTTCCTAAGAGGTGTACAACACTGCCCTTGAGAATAGTTCCATTCTTTTGCATTAAATATAACTACAAAATTAAAATGTAAAAAATATTTATGAATGCTATCTATGCAGACAACCCAGAATGCTTAGCAGAGAATACATTCTTACTTGCTGGTTCTTTAGACCCTACAATAAAGTAAACAGTTCCTTTCCTGGGCGTCCCCAGCTAGAAAACATAGTTTCGAAATCAGGCTGTGCCAGATAATGCGTGATCTATCAATAATTATTTCTTGGTATTTCATTGTTCTCTTATGTAGAAAGTTCAAACTCCCTATATAAAATAAATTAAAAAGCTGTGAAAATAAAATATAATGCATATATGCTTTAGGAGCTTCAAAAGAATACTACTTAGTTATAAAAAGAAGGTATATGCATAATGGAGAACTGAGGCTTTGGATATCTAGGCACAGAAGTAATTTTTTTTAAATGCTAGTACAGTAGATAAAGTTCTGGACATGTAGTCAAGAAGACCTGAGTTCAAGTTGGACCTTAGACACTTATAAGCTCTGTTACCCTGGATGAGTTACTTAACTTCTGTTTGCTTCAGTTTCCTCATCTATAAAATGGGAATAGTAATAGCACCCACCTCCCAGGATTGTTGTGAAGTTCAATGGGACAGTAATTTTCAAATGCTTACAGGTTTCTTGGCACATGGTTCTATGTAAATGTTAGCAATTAAATGAGATGAAATAGAGGTGTGGATAAAAGAATACAAGTAATATGAAAACAGTGACGTATGCAGTTGATATTAGAATCATTTTGGAAAGGAAAATTATGTATAAATGATACAAAAATAAAAACATTAATCATTAAATATAAAGTCTCTTTTATGTTCATTATATTTCTAGAGTCCTTACACCAATATGCACTTTAAAAGAATGGCATCTGTAGTGATAGGATATGTTATTTGTTTGTTCTTATCTCCATTCTTCCTAAATAAGTATCTTCCTGTTTTGTTTTAAATCTTGGTTTAGTGTGGCATGGGAAGAAAATTTATTAGATGACTTGCTAAATTTTGCTGCTACTCCAAGAGGACTACTACTTCTTCAGAAAACAGGTTCTATCAATGATTGTGTGACATTTATGTTCAACCAGTATGCAAAAAAACTGCAGGTATGAATTAAAATCTATCACAAACAATATGTACTTATTATTATTATTGTTAGTAGTATTATTAATGATAGTACTTTCATTTAAAATAATATTATTTTTTTGTAGATGAAGATTTATAGTAATATAAAATTCAGTTAAAGAAAGCATCATAGCCTACACCTTGATTTTTATGTAGCAGATCATTAGGCAGTCGAAAACACAATTTTTGGCCATATGTGTGTGAGTAAACCACTTCATAAACAGTGAAAACAATTGAATCAGCTATATATTTTGTTGATATGATATCAAACATATGTGTACAGTTAAATCTAAGTTATCTGGATTATAAATTCCTCGAAGGCCTTTCATTTTAAAAAAATTTAATTGTTTAATCTTTGTATTTGTATCCCTAGTGCCTAAAATGTAGTAGATGCTTGATACATGTTTGTTGAATTTACCTCTCAAGGACTGAATCTCTCTATATAGTTGAATTCTCTAAATAGCTAATGGTATATTCTTTTAAACACTAGCACTTTAAAAACATAAACCACTTTGACTGGAAATCTTTCCAAAATGCTTTATACATTAGCCATTAAAAAAAAAAAGAATGCACAGAACAAAATGTTGACTTTTCTGGATGGCATAGACATATTATTGTGAACATACATTATTTTAATCTTCTATAGTAGACAATGTGTTGGAGGTAAATGGGCCAAATTGTTTTCTTATGGAGATATATGCATTTTTTGGTCTGTTAGGCTATCAATTCTAAATATAGTCTATGTTTTTGCTTGTAACCAACCTTCTGCCACCTTCTCATTGTTTATTATTGATAATCTCTGCTGGCTTAGAAATCTAAGTGTATTAATTATATATAAAATCTGAGTAAATGGGCTTCTATGAGTAAAAATGTTTGAGCTTTCTTAGTTCAGGAATTTTGCCATCAGTTTTAGCAGTTAAACCTTTAGTCCATACTTTTAGTTATTTTTAAAATAATTTTAATATCTAGCTGTTTATACACAGCTGTAGTTATAACCTTAAATTCAACATATAATTATTAAGTACCTAATATTTTGAGTGATAGGCACTGGTAGATGTATAAAGTTTTTTATTTAATTATTTTTTAATGATAGGATTCTTTCTCTCACAGAGCTTAAATTCTGGTAGTTGATTATATTGTTAGTCTTTGATTAAAATAAAGGGTCCATAAGCAATGTATGAATAATATTTATTTTACTTTTAATCTTAAAAATCATACTATTTTGTTGTTATTTTTAGGTCAGTAGGCATAAAAAGTTTGGATATGGAGTGGTGGTTACACAAGTGGCATCAACGTCTGCAGGTGCAGCAGCTCTACGGAATTCAGGTAATATTTTTGGCTTAAAGCTATCACTTTAAAAAACAAATGATACAATTAGAGCTTAGTATAGTAGCAATAAAATTCTGTAATTTCTTAAAGTTATACATTACCTGGAAGGTATGATTTTTCTCTTAGGGTTTTCTTAGAATTAATTGTGAACTTTAGATTTACTTTTCTTCTGTAGAGCAGTGATAATTGATGAAGCAATCTATGAGGGATACTTTATACCATAAGATTTTTCCTTTATTAAATGTTGGAGAATACCTTGTAACAATGAGTGGTGTCATCCTTTTTGAAGTAATACTGCATCTTAATCATTCCAGGTAGATTTCTTTTGTCCATCACCCTGCTTTCCTGACCTCATGATTGATGTCAGAATTGGTGTCAGAAAATCACAATCATGCCAAAAGATTTAATTGTTTTATGGGCCATTGATAAAGTGGTGTTAAACCACCACAACTTCTCTTGGGAGGGATCCCATAGGCCCATGCCGTCTTGCCTCCTGATATCATGCAACATATATTATGTTTTTGAAAAGTCTTAGTGTTCCAAATATGCTGTCTACCTAACTCTTGCTTGTGATGACAGCATTCATTACCAGCTTTACTGTGGTAAACATAAAGGAAAAGTGATGGAAACGTGGCATACTCTCCAAAATTAGACTCTTACTCCAATTACCCTCAACTGGTTACATTGTGTCTTCATTTTCAAGTCTTAAGTATGTCTTTTGTGAATCACTATGTGATATTATTAATTTTATTGTTAAACATATGTATATATATATATACACATATACATACATATATATATATATATATATATATATACTTGTATAACACATACGTATTCTTACTCTGTATTTTTAGTACTTCATATGAGATTTTAAAATGGTCTGCTTCCGTTATGTTTTAGGGCTAAGATTAGCTTAATTTTTAATCTCTTTCTTTGTTTACTTTATGTAGTATATATGAACATATGTTTTGATTATAAGTAGAAATTTTTTTAATGATTGTTCTTCATCCTAATTGCATTACTTCAGAAACAATTTCATGTTCAGATTTGTATAGTTAATGGTAGGGTTTTTTTTCTCTATATGGTGAAGTTATTTTGTCATTGTTGAGATTCTTAAAACCTGAGTGGCAATAAACATTGGATATGAATAGGAAACTTACTGTGTCCAATATGGAATTGTATAAAACAAGGAACTATAATTATACTGAGAAAAGGAAACATGCTAGGCAGAAAGATATTATACTTTATTAGACTGGAGTAAAAGAATCAAAGGATAGGAAGAAATGAAATAAAAATTATAGGTACATGTGAAATAATAGAGTTTTGAAGTGAAGGACAAGTAATTTAAATTGCATCAGGAGAGCAGTGGTGAACCAATGGAAATACTTGAGAAAGGGTCGGGAGCTTTAAAGCCTTTCTAGCATCAAAATTTTATGATTTTAATCATGCTAATACTTTGTTGACTGATTTGGCTTAGGTATGGGGTACAAAAGAATCATTTAGCTGAGACTATATTGGAATATTTTTAAATTAAATTTTATGGAGAATTATTAAAAACAAAGAAGAAAGCAAATAGAAAAAGTTATACACTATCCTGAGTCTAACTTCAGTATAAAGTTAAATAGTATCTTGGTACTGAAGTTATTAGATTGTCACCTCCCAGTTCTTTTCTGTTTCTTCAGACATATCTAGGTTTGATAATAAAGGATGATTTTATGATAAAGGAAATTTTAGCGTAAAGAAGACTTGTCACTACTTCCTGGTCTGGTAGAAAATTGTCTGTCTCCAGTCATTAGTATCTCATTTAATTTTGAAAGCCTTTGTGTCATCGCCTTTTTTTTTTTATTCTGAATTTAAGAAATAAAACAAGCATTTCCATAACAAAGTAGAGTAGAAAAGAGGATTGCATGTGAAACTCTAAATCTATTATATACAATTTGCTTTTTCTTTTAAATATATAATAGAGTTATCATGTAACTTTCTTTTTTGCCTTCTCCCTCCCCCTTCCCCATCCTATGGATGGCAACCATTAGACACAAATATGTGTGTATATCTATATCTTATCTATATCTATCTATCTATATAGATGGATAGATATAGATATATACACATATAATATATATAGATATAGATATGTAAAATCATACTATACATAATTTTATTTATCAATTCTTTCTCTGGATGCAAGTAGCATCTTTGTAGTTAATTTGAGTATACCCTGGTTTCTCTTAAGATCACATATATCTTTTGCCTTTTACTCTATGTCATCACCTTTAGCATTAGGCTATAGTGTATTTCCATTCTATATTCTATTCATTGCTTTTGGAGGTGTTACCTTGGTTCTTGGCCTCATTCTTGATAAAGTAACTTCTCTGATTCCCTCAGATTCCTTCCAATAGCATGATCTTGCCTGAGTGGTAGATAGATTATGAGTAGTATCCTAATACTTCTAGAATTTAAATAAATAATATAAAATAATTGATTTTTTAGGGTTTATTAATGCACTTATAACTGAATTATGGGCCATTTTGGAATGTGGAAGAGATGACGTTAGAGTAACACATCCCAGACCTACTCCAGTGGATCCCATTGACCGAAGCTGTCAAAAGGTAAGAAGTCATTTAGCACATTCTCTAGAATAAGAATTCCTAACCCTTTTTCTTTCAAGAACCTTTTTAGCCATCTGGTGAAGCCTGTGACATGGGAGATAGCAAGTGAAAATATCCAGTAAGGAGATAGAGTGCCTAGTGCAAAGAATAGCAGAAAGGCTACTATCACTAGGTAGCATATTACTTGGGAGGATGTTAGGAGTAAGAAAACTGAAAGGTATAAAGAGTCCTAGTTATGGGGGAACTTTAAATGTCAGAGGATTTTACAAAAGATGGTGGAGGCAGTAGGAAGCTGGCAGAATTGATAAAATAGTGGGGTGACTTGGACAAATTTGTGCTTTAGGAAGATCATTTTGACTGCTGAGTGAAAGATGGAATGGAGTGGAGAGACACTCCAGGCAGGGAGACCAATCATCAGACTATTTAAGTAGTCCAGACAGAGATGATGGGGGCCTGGATGTGGGTGGTTGCAGAGTCAGAAGAGAGAAAGGGCCATATTGAGAAATATTGTGAAGGTAGAAACGACAGGAGTTGGGACCTGATATGGGGGTGAGAGAGAGCAAGGAGTTAAGAATGATACATAGATTGTGAGTTTAGGGGACTGGAGTAGTAGCACTTTTGACTGTAATAGGAAAGTTTGGAAGAGGGAAAGGTATGGGGGTTGGCAGGTGGATAATGAACCAAGTTTTGGACATGTTGAGTTTAAGATTTCTTTTTTTTTTTCTTCCCAGCCGAAACAAGGTTTATTAAGGATCCACCATATTGGCCAGACTCTTGAAGAATCTGAACATTAGTGAGCTGTTGGCTAGGTTATAAGGATCTGAGCAGTGGTTAGATTTTAAGAATCTGAGCACCTTAATGAAGACAAGATGGCCCTTATATACAGAAAGACCGTGGGAGAGATCTAAGAGTGACTATGTAGACTGTGGGGACTGTGAGGTAATAAAATGCCAGGGTCCTGGACCATGTGGCCAAGGGAGAATAGAGCCTAGCTAGGATGAAGTGTGGGAAGTGGCCAGGGGCCATAAGGAGGTAAAACAATGGAGGGCTAGGCTAGGTTAAGGGTAACAGAGAATTGGGAGATTAGGCATAGCCACAATGAAAGAGCAGTTGATGGGATTATAGCCTCAGGCAAATACCAGAGATTTGGCCATGTGGGAAAGTCCAGGGTTTTTCTTTTTTGGGGTCCAGATCCCATCCTCATCATTACCCCTTCAAATGAATGGGTTCCAAATTCTTTTAGGGTAAGGGGCAAAGGTCTTGGCTTCTGAAACTTTTTCCTGCTGGCAAGGTGTGTAGAGCTGCCCCTGCCTCAAGCTGGTCCCGAAGAGAAGGAACCGAACACAGGCTGCATCCAGGGAACAATGGGGGGACATTGGCTGGTACCTGCTGTTTGCTACCAATTGTAGGTGAATGGCCTGTAGTCTGGAAGACACAAATCTGACAGAAAAGACTACAGGGCCCAGATATGATAGGATAAAACATCCTTAGCTCTGTTTGGATTCAGATAATTCAGTTTTCCAACCATGCAGTATCATATCCACCTCATAGCCAGACTTAGGAATAGCCAGGTAGGTAACATTCCTTTTCAAAGGAACATGATATGTAAACTGAGCCAGGAGGATCCCATCTTAGACTGAGGCTGAAATTGTCCTCTCAGTTTTTCCTGATGCTGCCTTCCCACCAGTATCACATTCTCAGACTAGCTTGTGGCATTTTTCTCAGATCGTGGATTATTGATTATCAATGGATTATTAGGATCCATCAAACAACTCAAAATAAAACCCCGTGAGCTTTTACCTCAAACAGCAGGTTTCACTAATCACAGTTTAGGAAAAACTTTTCCAGGATTTACATCTCAAACAGTATCAAAAGCAGCAGGAAGGTCAGGAGGATGAGGACTGAGAAAAGGCCATTACATTTGTCTATTAAAAGAACATTGATAATTTTAGTGAGAGGAAAGGAGGAGGAGGTACTGATTTTAGATAGTCTTCTCCAGGAGTTTAGTCAGGAAAGGGAGAAGGGATATAGGACAATAGCTAGCTGAGATAGATGGATCAAGAGAAGATCTTTTCTTAAGGAGGGGGAAAGACATAGGAATGTTTGTAGGTGGCAGAGATGCAGCCAGTAGAGATTAAAGATAAGTAACAGAGTGGGCATGATTGAGGGAGTGATATTCTGGAGAATAGGGAATTGAATGGCATCACTTTTGCATGTAGAGGCGTTAGCCTTGGCAATGAGAAGACCCATCTTTTCATGTGAAATGGGAGGAGGAGAGGATTGCAGAAGGCATTTTAATTATATGAGATAAGAGGTGGGGGGAAGAGGGATTTCTCTTGGTGAATGGTTCCAATATTTTCAGTAAGTATGTGGCAAGATTCTCAGCTGAGAGGGTGGGAATCCATGGAAGGTTTGAGAAGAGGTATGGGAGATCCTTTGTGATGAGTGAGATAGTCAATTTGGGAAATGTAAAAGAATTATTACCTTGTTTCATTTAAGGCCTAGTTAAGATTATATAACAAATTTGTAGTGGAACTTATCAGCCTGGTTTCATGATTTTCTCTAGCTTTGCTCAGTACCATATAGATAGAATAGTGAGAGTTATAAAAGGTTGGCAGGACAAAATATATCCGATTGGAAAAGGGAGCATTGGACTCCAGTAGAGTTGAACTGGTTCACTAAGGGTTCTGGATGGAGAGGAAAATGTAGTCAGTGCATGAGTGATGACCCAAGAGAGGACTGAGAGGTCATAGGATGGGAGGTCATGGTAGAGAAGAATAGATTTTGAAGTTTTATTCTCAGTACTTAGCACAGTACTTGATACTAAGCACTTAAAAAATGCTTGTTCACTGAGAGACTAGTATAATAAAACATTCCTTTCATACTGTTATTATTTGTCAATATGGACATTTTAATCATTAATTCATTTTATTTTGACACCACCGTACTTCGCCGCAGAGTATGGGAATTGTACACATGTTTAGACTTTTTCAATATATTGATCAGTTTTGATTTTTTTTCCTTTTTTTCTTTTTTAAAATTCTGTGTTATATAACTCTTTGAGGAGGTTGGCTCTTGAGGAGGATGAGGTATCTGGGAGAATTTTTGTTAATCTAAAAAAAAGATATCAATAAAAATTATATAAAAAAGAAAAATTAGGCTTTTGTAGATGAATCTAATACAGTCTTATCAAAATCAAATACCAGTGGCTCCCTGAGGACTGCATATTACTTAAAAAATCACAAATTAACATTATGTTTCATTTTTAAAATTTATTTTGTTAAATATTTCCCAATTACATTTTGATCTGCTTAGGGTTTACTTGGGAGTTTGTCCGAAAGTTTGACAGCTTCACAGTCATATAGTTGACTTTAAAATGTGGAAAATACAAGATAATGCTGTTTATTTAAATAATAAAGAAGAAAAATCAATGAGAAACCACTGAAATAAAGAATTTCAGAAATTCAATTTTAGAAAAGAAATTGAACCATAGCTGTAAGGAATAAAAAAAAAAGTAGGGGAACCAATCCCTACTTCAAGTGGATTTATAAGAGAATTCTGTCAAACTTTTTTTTTTTTTGGCTGAGGCAGTTGGGGTTAAGTGACTTGGTCACACAGCTAGTGAGTGTTATATGTCTGAGCCTGGATTTGAACTCAGATACTCCTGACTCTAGAACCAGTACCGTATCTACTGCACCACCTAGCTACGCCATCTATCAAACTTTTAAAGAAAAAAGTAAGTGAAGTATACAGAACCAGGAAAACTTTATATTCAAGTGACTATGCCAGTATAAATGGAGAAAACAACAATAAAATCAGTCTTGAAGTAAACTTTTATTTAGCACCTAGTATGTGCTAGGTCTTGTGCTTAAAGCTGTGGATACAAATATGAAAAAGAAAGATAGACTGTTCTCAAGGAGCTTAAAATGTAATGGGGGAAGACAGCATTTAAAGGGAGACTGAAAAGTAGAGGAGGGGGAAGAGATTGAAAGAGAAATTCGATTTAAAATAACACAGTATAAAATACTTAGGCATTTACCTGCTAAGATACAGGCAAAGACTATGACTACAAATATAAAACACTTTGCACAGATAAAGACATATCTAAATAATTGGAGAGAGATTAATTTCTCATATGTAGACCAAGCCAATTTGATGAATGACAATATTACCTAAATCAATTTACTTATTCAATGTCATGCCACCCAAACTACTATAGGATTACCTAATAGATCTAGAAAAAAAAATTCATTTGGAGGAATAAAAGGTCAAGGATATCAAAGGAATCAGTGAAAAAAATAAAAAGGACAGGAGGCCTACCAGTACTAAATCTCAAACTAATACTACAAAACTGTAATAATCGAAATAATTTGATACTAGGTAAGAAATAGAAAGGTTGGTCAGTGAAGCAGAGTAGGCATACAATATAGAGAAGCAAATGAGCACAGTAACCTAGCATTTGATAAACCCCAAAATCTCAGCTACTGGAGCTAGAATTCACTATTTGACAAAAACTCTTGTGAAAACTGAAAAGTAGGGGCAGCTAGGTGGCGCAGTGGATAGAGTACTGGCCCTGAAGTCAGGAGGACCTGAGTTCAAATCCTGCCTCAGACCAAGCACTTGACACTTACTAGCTGTGTGACCCTGGGCAAGTCACTTAACCCAGTTGCCTTAAAAAACAAACAAAGTGAAAAGTAGTCTGGCAGAAACTATTTTTAGATCAGCATTTCACAGCAAATGTCAAAAGAAGCTCCAAATGATTTAAATGTAAAGAGTGATATAAGAAAATTAGAGGAACATGGAAGAAATTATCTGTCAGATCTGTAGATGGGGAATTTATAACCAAATAGAAGAGTTTCAAGTCGGGAAAATTGGCAGTTTTGATTACATAAAATTGAAAAGATTTTGCACAGACAAAACCAATAAAGCTAAAATTAGAAGAGAAGCAGGAAATTGGAAAAATATTTATAGCAAGCTTTGCTGATTTAGTTCTCATTTCA